TAGAAGGCACAGATCGAAGTGAGCGGTACGTGAGGACAATATAGAGAAACACTGTTCGGGTGCGCTAGGTGAATAACCACCGCAAAATGTGCGGTCAAGTATACAGCCCTGTTAAGGAGGAGACAGACACGACCTACACATGTGTGTGCGCGAGCTTGTGTCAATGACGAGAATCAACACGGCTGTCCAGTGTGATGATATATATATAAATATATATGTGTTTGTGTGTGTGTGTGTAACTGATCATCGCGTAACGTGTATCACAAAAGGCCATTTAGACAGGGATCATCTCTTGCTATTGTCCCGACAATTCTTGATCTCTGTATGTAACACAATACACATCTAGGAAAACGGGAGGGTATGGGCGGTCCAGAACAGCACTGAATTTAAAAATGTAGACGAGCAGGACAGATGAGGGTTCATCTGCTCCGTTTAGCCGTGACCGAATGCGGTTGTTCAAACCCCGTTTTGAGAACGGCAGTAACCGAACAGCAAACCATTCGCAGACGGCCAGAGAGATGTCACGCGATCGAAATCGATTGACACAATGCAGTTAAATGACCAAGAACATGAAAACTAAATAAAAACCACACTATACAGAGTGGTGCTTTGGTGTCTCAGCAAGACTGACAGAACAAATACGATTGCATCGAGAGAGGGAGAGAGTGAACACTCACAACTTGACATTCGCCAGCATTCTTTAGATGGAGAGAAACAGGAAAACGGGAGCTCATTGAAAAGCTAGCGAACACTTCATTGGTGAAATTGGAACAAGGAACAGTACATGCATTTTTGTTTGGATAATTCAATGTCTGGGAATTATTGATGTCCCGTTTTCAGGGAAGCGAATCCTCAATTCGATCCATGTGTACCATTCGGGAAAAGGACGAATATTGTATTGTCTACGGGTTCTAAACACACTTAAAGCCTACCATGCTTAATACAAATCAATAAAATTATGAACTACATTCGAGATAGTGAATTTTATCGTTTTCACGTTTCATGAACTGTTGACTATTAGATGCTGTGTTATATAGTGCAGTTTGAGGAACAGTAAGTATACTAGAGGAAGTAACAACAAACACGAGTCAATAACACCGAATGATTAGGAATAGTAGTAGTAGTAGTCAAAACCATAGGAGTTCGAAAGGTGAATGGCATAAGGCTTCAATGAATGTGGCCAGCACTGGCGACTGCAAAAGTTTAACTTGATATACAGGGGTTCTGTGTCTCACTAGTGAATTATGCATCCTCTGTAGCCACCGAATTCATTCATCATGCGATCCGTGTAACAGAAAAGATATGCTCAAAGTTCGATCTAAACTGTCCTAAAAATGTGGGCGTGGGGGGGGGAGGGTTCAAAGGTTTCGAACAGTTCACTTGAAAACGAAAGGAATGAGAATCGGATATCCAGGGCCCGTTTTTCACGTGTTCTATGTTTTACATTCATGGTATTTCCGCGTGTAATCCAGCAAATACACGAACCTCTGTTATTCTACTACCGGTTGGCTGCTTCCATGGAAAGAGGAAAACCCGGGACAACGAAGTTAACTATTACATGCAAACAGACGGAATGGATTCTGCACTCTATTGATTGTACCAGTCCGTGTGACTTTGATTTCTGTCCTACGGTAAGCTTTAACAGTCGAAAAGTGTGATTGCGAAGCAACCTCAACTATGATCTATGATACTACAATATACCAACAAAATGAGATATACATGAAATGAATACACAACCACAAAAACTAATCGATGGAACAGAGCTCGATCATCTATCAACTCACTCGTCCTTCCGGATTCTTGTCCGGGTGATATTTCATCGACATCTGATAGTACGCTCGGCGGATTAGGGCCTCCTCGTTCGAACTGAAACCCAATCGGAGACGAACCAAATCACTCTAACAGTTCAGATGAAAGGAGTAGGAAACAGAGAGAGAGAGAGAGAGAGAGAGAGAGTCAGACTGTTCGTGTGCACGGATGCACCACCACTTACGAATTGAGTTGTGAAGCCTCTAAACCCAACTGTCGGATCGCATCGTTATAGGACATGTCAACCGGTTTCTTCTCGTTTTCCGCTCGCCACGCCCGTAATACATCACGTAACAGGGCAATCTACAGTTTGGAGGAGGGGGGGGGGGGG